TACTGCGCTGGGACCTTTGATCAAAGGCTATCTCCTTTGGCTTGTCTAACGACTGTGAGCCCAATATCTCTGGTCGAGATGCAAAAAGTCAAGGCAAGGCAGGATGCTGTGACTATCTAGGTAGAATCAAAGCAAGTAAGTAACAAGAGACCTAGCAAACTGTCCAGAGGTGCTACCTGGTCCTGTCATGACCTGGGTGCATGTCCCTGAATTCTGCAGCATTACAATGACAGTTACTGCTGCAGCTCAAAGTGCAGCATTGAAGTGCAAAAGTACCTCTGAGTGGATCAGATATGTGGCATGAGGGTTCCTAGAGGTTGGCACATGTTAGATACCAATGTTCTTGGACATAAAATGTGTGAGACTGGTGCCTATGGAGTATGGCCTGAGATGTTGGTGTCTGGTGTGCAACATGGAGCAAGCTGAAGTCACCACCAGGTACCCACTCAGAATTCTGGGCATTAAGTGTGCTTGGTGGGATCAGAAAGGTGGGAAGCTATATATTGATGAGATGAGATATGCAGTAAATAAGGCTGTTAACAAGTAATTGTGCCCCTCAATAGGCAACCTGCCACTGTCTGGTGAGGATCTCACCTTGCTGCCTGGCAGCTACATAAAAAATGTAGCGAGTTGGTCCTGACATTGAGATAAGCTGAATGGACTTCTCACATAGTTCTGCCACACTCCTTACTGTGGCCAGTTCTGTTCACGACACTACAAGATTCTTCCCAATTGTAGATTTCGGTGATTTGCATGAGGAACAAATGTTGCCTAGGACTCCAGGGTAAATACCCTGGTCTTTTTCTAAAAATTACATCTGTAGGATCTCTTTCTTCCCCTGAAAGGCTTAATATTGGTTTAATATTTCAAGCAAAATGCAGAGCCTCTGCTTGCACAGTGCTCCCTTGGTTTGGAATCGGAAGGGTCAGCCTGTTTTTTTTAATGTGTTCTAGCCTTTGTGTGGAGTGGCACTTAATAGCGGCTGTCACCAGCTGACTCAGTGCCAGTTTGGCTCAGCGTTACCTCTCATGCCTATAAGTGCTTTAAGTCATCCTCTTGTGTGAATGAAAGTTTTTAAAGGAAAACTATCTTCTCCTACGGAGCACAGGCCTAATCTCTCCACCGTGATTCAATTGTTTAGAGAGGAGGCCTACACATGTTGATGGTGAATTCTCTAACTGACAATGACAACTTTACAGTAAACACTGCAGTCATTTTACTACTCGTACTGAAAGTGAACTGCTGAGTGCTTTATTGGGTGAAGTACTCTTGGCTGCATAGTAACTTGTCGAGGTCTGGAAGGGAAACATAAGTAGATCATGGGTACTATCATGGAATTCTTGCTCCTTTTCTCCATTACACATGTTGGGCCTCGGAAGAGTGGAAAGCAAACACCCTGTGCTTCCCTCTAAATCAATAAAAAATTGCATTTATATAGCACTTTTGCATAGGAAAACATAAAAGGAGGTCTAGAATCCCCTCCCTCACCTCCTTGTGTGCCTCTACCTCCCTATCCCCTTTTAAGATGTTCCAAAAACCCATTTCTGTGATCAATCTTTTGATCATCTGCCCTGCTTTATCTTGTTATGACTTGGTGTCAAAGATTTTCTTTTAGTTAATATCACTTTAAGTGTCTTGGGATGTTTATCAAAATAAGTCTACCAGTTAACTGTACGCTACTGCCTAGAAACATAAGTTGACACTGAATGACACAAGTACAAGTGACCAAAAACTTAGTGAGGTAGAATTTAAAAATGAGACTGGAGTAGAGGGTTTAGGAAGGAATTCCAGAACCTTGGCAACAGTAGGCCACTAATGGTGGTATTATTTAAAATCTGGATTGGTATAAACAGCCCGAGTTGGAGGAAGTCATAGATCTTGGAGGGCTGAAGGAATCGAAGAAATTGCAGTGCAACAGAAAACTTGTAGTAAATAATGCACAGAGGGCATGTAATAAATGGAGGGAAGAAATCTGAACTATACCTGCAGGCTATGACAATCCCTCAAAGACTACAGAGAACAGAAAAACATCTGTGATCTCATTTAAATCCAGTTTCCATGCCAACAGAGCCCATGCAAAATAATTAATTGCGCAGTCAGATTAGCCTGAGCGCATTGCTGTGTGCCCTTTGCACATTTTCCTAGCACACACTGAGGGAGCTGGCACACAAATAAACATGTTTTGATCTGAGGAAGGAGCCACTTGCCTGGAAAACCTCCACAATTCAATTGCAAATATTTTGTTGGAGTTACTTTGCCCCCTGGTGGTGAATTTTTAAAAAAAATCATTAACATGTACAAAGTTATTCCATGCCGTTTCTAAGGGAGAATTGGATGAATTTCTTTTTTGCACAGTGAGCTGCTACCTGAAAGTTGATAAAGGAGATTCTAAAGCAATTTTGAAAAGTTATTTGAATAAATGCTTGGGGGAAAAACAATAAGCAGGGAAGAGCAGGAGAAATGGGACCAACTGGAAAGCTCTTTAAAGTTTCTGAGAAGATTTGTAGCTTGGGTTGTGGATGAAGTTGTAGACTTGCTCGTTGAGCCAGTGTGTTTGATTGTAGACATTACCCTGCAGGTAACATTGTCAGTGCACCTCCAGTGAAGCGTTGGTGTTCTGTCTGCTTTTTATTTATGAGATAACAAGTTGTAGAGCTGGATGAACACAGCAGGCCAAGCAGCATCAGAGGAGCAGGAAGGCTGACGTTTCGGGCCTAAACCCTTCTTCAGAAATGCCTCTGATGCTGCTTGGCCTACTGTGTTCATCCAGCTCTACACCTTGTTATCTCCAATTCTCCAGCATCTGCAGTTCCTACTATCTCTGAAACATTTTTATTTATATGCTTTGGTTTGCTGGGGTGGTTGGTATTACTTCCGGTTCTGCTTCTCAGTGGTTTGTACACGGTCTAATTCAGTGTGTTTGTTGATGGAGTTCCAGTTGGAATACCAGGCCTCAAGGAATTCCCTGGCACGTCTCTGTTAGGCATGTGCTATTATGGATGTGTTGTCCTAGTTGAATTCATGTCCTCCTTTTGTCTGTGTGTATTGAGACCATTGAGAATTGGTTGTATCTTTTGGTGGCTAGTTGGTGTTTGTGTATCCTTTTATTGCCAGTTTTCTTCCAGTTTGGCCTATGTAATGTTTCTCACAGTCCTTGCATGGTGTTTTGTATATTACATTAGTTTTATTGGTTGTGGGCATCCGGTTCTTTATGTTCGTCAGTAGCTGTCGCAATGTAGTTGTTGGTTTGTGGGCAACCCTGATACCTAGGGGCCTGAGTAGTCTTGTGATCATCTGTTATCTTCCCTGATGTATGGTAGGGTGAGTAGTGTGTCTCGCCATGTAGTGTTGTCTTGTTGTGGTCTGTCACAGAGGTAACGGCAGATTGTGTTTTTTGGGTATCCATTCCTTTTAAAAACTCCATATAGGTGCTCCTGTTCTGCTTTGTGGAATTCCGGGTTGCTGCAGTGTGTTGTGGCCAGTTTAAATAATGTCCTGATGCAGCTCCGTTTATGGATGTTGGAATGGTTGCTGAAGTAATTAAGTATCTGGTCTGTATGTGTGGTCTTTCTGTGTATGCTAGTCTGGAGATCCCCGTATTTCTTGCATTCCACCATTACTTCCAGGAAGGGTAGTCAGTTGTTGTTCTCTTCTACTTTTGTGAATTTTATTCCGGTGAGGATGTTCTTTGTGTCAGTGGATTTCTACTAGTCTTGTGCATTTGATAATCATGAAGGTATCATCTATATAGCGGACCCAGAGTTGGGGTTGTATAGTGGGGAACGCTGTTCATTCTAAACTTTGCATTACCGCTTCTGCAATCAGTCCTGATATTGGGGATCCCATTGGTGTTCCGTTGAATTGTTTAAATATGTGCCGTTGAAGGTGAAATGGGTTGTGAGACACAGATACAGTAGTTTCAGGGCGCTGTCCTTGTTGATGCGGTCGGTGTCATGGATGCCTGCTTTCCTGACTTGTCCAGCGGTGTGGTAATTGTCTCTTTGGCGAGGTCAATGTTTATAGATGTAAATAGTGCTGTTACATCGAAGGATACCATTATCTCGTCCTCTTCTATTCTGGTGTCCTTGATGATGTTGAGGAATTCTTGGGAGGAGTGGATGGAGTGGGTAATGTTGTCAACTAAGTATTTTAGTTTCCGTTGTAGTTCTTTGGCTAGTCTGTATGTTGGTGTGCCTGGTAGTGAGCTTGTGTCCCTGGCTTGTGTACCTTAGAGAGTCCATAGAAGTGGGGTGTGTTGGATCCCTCTGGCTTCATTTTTTGGTAGTCTGTCTTGCTGATGTCTCCTGAGCTGTGTAATTTCTTAAGGGTTGTTGTGATCTGGTTCCCTAATTGTGCTGTTGACAACAGATGGTGATAGACCCAAGCATAATGGTTTAATGGCCTGCAATGTCCAATTCTATTGTAATATTTACATTAGACTTGTTTCTGTTCTGACAAAACTGGATGTAAAATAATTAGCTCTGAGTTCGGTAATGCAGTGATATCATAGGTCATGGCAATAGAATTCTGGCTTATTTGATTAGAGGAGCTGTTTGCATCAGTTGTTGATGAAGGGGCCTAAGTTTTGGTGAAATCTGATATATGCATGTTAACCTTTAAGAGGAGGATAAATTAATCAAAATTTCTGAAAATGGTAAGTCTGGATTTGGCTACCCCCAGGTTCTGCAATGGTTCACTCTCTGGTCAGATGGCCTGCTAGACACTCACTGTCTGGATCAGTTCATGAAGAATTATCACTCATGTTAACAGAAACCTGATGGTACTTCACACAATGAGTCTGAGAGATTTTTAGATGATGATGGTGCTCGCATTAGGTTTTCTTATTCACAGTGAAATTAATTTACAAACAAAACCAGCTCTGTCTCAATTGTGATTTAGGACAGTGCAAACATATCAAGTGTGACCCAGGTAGGACAGTGCATATTGTTGGCATGTACTTGTTGCAATAATGAGCAGCTTGTCCACTTGTTTCCCTTCAGTTGAAAGAGTGAGAACGCAGAAGAGAACGTTTACCCGATGGATCAACTTCCACTTGTACAGGGTAAGAGCAAGCATTCAATTCTATTTCAGGCTAATTAATCACTGGCAAACAATGTCAATTGTTATGAAGAAGATCTTTATTTAATACTGTCCGGACGACTTGTGTTTTGAACGTTTGTGAAAAATGGGTAGATTTCAAGTTTTGTGGAAACACCTGGAGTATTTTTTTAAAGGCCATATTTATGGGCAACACCACCGCTAGATGGAGCATTGGAGTCCACGAGTAGCAATTCAATTGAGGTACAGCTTTCGTCATTGGTCATAAGTTAATATTTCCCACCAAGTAGAGAGGTGTTGAAAGGCAAATTCTGAAATCAGTACTTACAAATAACTTTGAATGATGGCCAATGATTTTCAGGAGGGTGTAAGACGGAGATATGTCACCAATGTACTTCACTAGACTTTTAATCCAGTAAATCAACCAATGTTCTCGGGACTGTGGTTCAAATTTCTGCCACAGTAGCTGGTAGAATTTAAATGCACTGTTTTAAAAAAAAACCTGGAATTAAAAATCTACCGATGACCCTAAAACCATTGAAAATTGTCAGGGAAAAAAAACTCAACTGGCCTACTAATGTCCTTCAGAGAAGGAAATCTGTGTCCTCACCAGGTTTGGTTTACATGTGACTCCAGACCCACTCAATGACTCTGAATTGCAATCTGAAATTTCCTGGATAGCTGAAATAATTCCACAGAGGCCAGTATCCATGTGGTGACCAGTATCCAGTCACCAAGTCACCCTTTATTTACACATGGAGAATTCTTCATACTGATCCAGCTCCCTCCGAGCCAGCTGTCCGAGTGAACAGAACCTTTGACACGCCTGTTCTTATTTGTCAGCCAGGGCTCCCTGATTGGGCTGTTAATCTGGTCCAATCAGGAGACTCCCTTTCTATGATGCTGACCTGGCTAACCTCGTTACAATCACTAAATATATAAAATCATATAAAATATAAATAGCCACTCAGTTGTATCAATTGCTATGATGTCTCAATAAAGAAATAAAACCGATGAACTGCCTGGCATTGACCTAGGCAAGATAACAGCAGAAACAGTCTGTCGACCCTGTAACGTCTTCCTTGCTAATATTGGAGGGGCTAGTGCCAAAATTGAGAGAGCTGTCTCTCAGACTAGTCAAGCAACAGCCTGATATAGTCATACTAACAGAATCATACCTTTGAGACAATGTCTCAGAGATCACCATCACCTGTCCCACTGACAAGTCTTACCAGTGGAGGTGGCTTCACCGTGGTATACAGTCAGGACCGAGTTGCCCTGGGAGTCTTCAATATTGACTATAGACTCCACAAAGTCTTGTGGCTTCAGGTTAAACACGGGCAAGGAAACGTTCTGCTGATTACCATGTACCGTCTTCCCTCGGCTGATGAATCAGTGCTCCTCTATTTTGAACAACACTTGGAAGAAGCACTGAGAGTGGCAAGGGCAAAAAATGTACTCTGGGGGTGGGATTTGAATGTCCATAACCAAGAGTGGCTCAGCAGCAGTACTACTGATCAAGCTGGTCGGGTCCTAAAGGTCATTGCTGCTAGACTGGGTCTTCAGGAAGTGGTGAAGGAACCAATGAGGGGGAAAAAAAAACATTCTTGACCTCCTCCTTACCAATCTGTTACCTGCAGATGCATCTATCCATGAGTATCATTAAGAGTGATAACTGCACAGTTCTTGTGGAGACAAAATTTCGCCTTCACATTGAGAATAACCATCATCCTTTTGAGTGGCACTGGCCTGGGTTAAATGGGACAGACTTTTAACTCGAGATGTCACAACTCCAGGCTGGGCATCCCTGAGGTCATCAGCAGCAGCAGAATTGTAGGCCAACATAATCTGCAATCTTGTGATCTGGCATATCCCCCACTCACCATTACCGTCAAGCTAGGGGATCAAAGCAGGAGGGCATGCCAGGAACAACGTAAGGCATACCTAAAAATGAAGTGCTAACCTGGTAAAGCTACCAAACAGGACTATTTGCATGCCAAGAAGCAAATGATAGAAAGAGTTAAGCAATCCCACAACTAACAGATCAGATCAAAGCTCTGCAGGCCTGCCACATTCAGCCGTGAATGGTGTGTACAATTCAACAATTCACTTGAAGAGGCTCCACAAATATCCTCATCCTCAATGATGGAAGAGCTAAACACAGCAGTGCAAAAAATAAGGCTGAAGCATTCGCAGCAATCTTCAGTCAAAAGTGCTGAGTTGATGTTGTATCATGGTCTCCTTCAGTGGTCCCCAACATTACAGAAAACAATCTTCAGCCAATTCGATTCACTTCACGTAATAGGAAGAAACAGTTGAAGGTACTGGTTACTGCAAAGGTAATGGATCCTGACAATATTCTGGCAATAGTACTGAAGACTTGTGCTCCAGTACTTGCCACTCCTCTAGCCAAGCTCTTCCAGTAGTTTGAACACTGGCATCTACACGACAATGTGGAAAATTGCCCAGATATTTACTATGATGTTGTTGACTTGCTCACCGAGCTGGCTTGTTTTTGTTCAAACATTTCGTCACCATGCTAGGTAACATCAACAAACATATAGCACTAGACCCCATATACAAACCCATATAGATCAAAACCGGAAGTGACACTAGTCAGTAGACAGACAGTATAAATTCCAAGAGGAGTAGAACAACATTGTTTTATCGGAGACCTCACTGATGATGTTACCTAGCATGGTGACAAAACGTCTGAACAAAAACAAGCGAGCTCGGCGAGCAAGTCAACAACATCACCCACAACCCAAGCTACAAATCTTTGCTAAAACTTTAAATATGTAGTGTATACAAAAAGCAGGACCAATCCAGCAAATAACACCCCATAAGTCTACTTGTGATCATCAGTAAAGTGATGGAAGGTGTCATCAACAGTGCTATCAAGCAACGTCTGTTCAGCAATAATCTGCTCAGTGATGCCCAGTTTGGGTTCTGCCAGGGCCGGTCAACTCAAGTCCTCAATAAAGCTGTGATTTAAAAGTTTAAGAGCCGCGAGGTTACGCTGCAGCTCTATAAAACCCTGGTTAGACCACACTTGGAATATTGTGTTCAGTTCTGGTTGCCTCGTTATAGGAAGGATGTGGAAGCTTTTGAGAGGGTGCAGAGGACATTTACCAGGATGTTGCCTGGACTGGAGGGCAGGTCTTATGAGGAAAGGTTGAGGGAGCTAGGGCTCTTTTCATTGGAGCGAAGAAGGATGAGAGGTGACTTGATAGAGGATAGAGCCAGAGACTTCTTCGCAGGGCGGAAATGACTATTAACGGGCATAATTTTAAGGTGATTGGAGGAAGGTATCAGGGAGATGTCAGAGGTAGGTTCTTTACACAGAGAGTGGTGGTCGCGTGGAATGCGCTGCCAGTGGTGGTAGTGGAATCAGATACATTAGGGACATTTAAGCGACTCTTGGATAGGCACATGGATGATAGTAAAATGTAGGGTATGCAGGGTAGTTTGATCTTAGAGTAGGATAATAGGTCGGCACAACATTGTGGGCCAAAGGGCCTGTACTGTGCTGTACTATTCTATGCTCTAGACTGGATAGCCAACTTAAAATGATGGAAATGAAGGTAGAATGTAGGCTTAGTGAGGAGGAGAGTGATGATGAGCAGACCCATTGTAGCCAAAGACTTGTTAGAGATACCTACAAATACATCAAAACATTACCAAAATTTGATGCAAAAGAGGTACCGGTCTTTTTCATTTCCTTTGGCCAGTTCATTTTGGTTAGCCAATATCTCCGAGACTATGCGGGTAATATTAATTCAGACTAAGCTGGTAGGCAGGGCTAGTGAGGTGTTTGCAGCGCTGTCAAGAGAATATGAAGAAGTAAAACAGGCTATTTTGAGTGTCTATGAATTGGTACCAGAAGCGTATAGAAAATATTTATACAGAAATGTAAGGAAGGAACTTGTGTCGAGTTTGAAAGAATTAAACAAAGTAACTTCGATAGATGGGTGAGAGCATTAAAGATAGAAAAGACATATGACGATCTTGGAGAGATTATTCTGTTGGAGGAGTTTAAAAAATTCACTTGCAGAAGTGACAAGAGCTCCTGCTGACAGTGAAAACAGTGAGAAGAGCTGCAGAGATGGTGTATGAATATACGTTGGTGCATAAATCAAAATATAGCTTCCGACAGCGATTTCATTCCATGAGAGAGAGAAATTCAGAAAAAGGGGAGATCCTTCAATGAGAAACAAAAAGTAGATCACACTGGGAACGATTTATCACATGTGAAAAAAGAAACAAAAAGGTGAAACGCCTCAGGTGTTTCTGCTATAATAGATGGGGCAGGGGTGTGGGGGGTGGTGGTGGTCACAAAGTCACAGTGCTGGTGGATTGAGAGGCACTGAGAAAGAATGTGGTAAGAGTCTAAACCAGTGGGATTAGTTGAAGTTGTGAAGGAAATCCCAAGAGAAGTTGGAAGTACAAGAGAGTGCACAGCCTAGTCATGAACTGGTTAGTAAGATAGTGCCTGATGTCTTCAAAGACTTCACCTCTGTGGGTAAGGTTTACTCAGGATGAATGGGGGAGAAGGTAAAGAAGTTAAAATATTGAGAGATACAGGAACTGGTCATTCTCTAATAGTAAGAGAAGAGAATATTTGCACTTCTTCTGAAATGTTGTTACCTGATCGTGATCATCTGTGGAATAAATGGAGACAGATTTAGCATTCTGCTGTGTAAGATGAGGCTGGAAAGCCCAATCAAGACTGGGGAAGTGATAGTGGGAGTGATTGAGTACAGTTTGTTCCTGGAAATGACCTAGCTGGATCAAATCTGGGAGTGATGCCCATTGTAATAGAGAAGCTGAAAAAAAAAACAGGGAACTGAAGGGTTAAAAGAAAAATACCCTGGAATTTTTCCGGACTGTGTGGTGACAAGATCCCATAGTCATAAGTTAAAGCAAGAAGGGTAAACAAAAGAGAAACACAAATAAGATCCAGTTAACTGACACCCAGTTCGATGAAACGGTAAAGGAAAAACT